CCGCCCATTGGCAGACATATTCGTTAGCTATCGCGTTGCCGTAGTGACCTGCACGATTTAGAAATATTGCAAGCTGTAAGGTGATGGGAAGCTGACGGTTGTTCAAGTGGTTTTGGAAAATGGGACTATCGCTGATATAGTCGAGGATGTCATCGAAAATGTCAGGGTATACACGCAATTTCTGGCGAAAGAGATCTGGGCGATGGCAGCAAATGAGGTAAGAGCTGAATCTGCGGCGCACGCATGGGGGGCTCGTCAGGGCGATGGAGACTCGTGCTCTCTCTATTTCATCACGAAGCGCTACAATATCTCCCAAAAGGCGCAGAAAGTGTAGATCGATATCGGAGGAGTCGGTACTTGAGTTAGTTGAAACCGTCAGACCTATCTGATAGAGGAGATATTGGAGATATAATCATAGGACTTAGGATTGAGCTATCGGAGCCGGATGATTCAGAATCTTCTGTATTACGTCTAGCATGCTCTATATGAGCCAATGCAACTTGCAGCGAAGCAGCGTCTAGCTGGTGTGTAAGAGGTCTTGACGCACGGATGTTCGAGGCATTGCGTCTAACCCTAACCCCTAATCGTCGACTTGCATGCGTGGCTAAGGTAATCAAGCGGAGTTTAAATTCACACTTTGAAAAATTTCGCAATTCTTTCAAACACGTTTCAACGCGCTTTCAGCGTGTTTCTGAATATTCAAAATTTTACTTTGAATCCCACTAATGGCTTATTCACAATTTGTAATATTCAATGTGGTAGATGCACGCATGCGATATTACTCAATAATCAATTGAACTGTGGGATCATCATCAAACATTGCTACGAGGATTAGGACCCAGTAGGACATGTTTGTGACAAGATCATGATCGACCTGGCCAGTATTCACCACTACGGATTATTTGACAAGAGAATGAAGCAGGGTTGTATGGAAAGCCAGACCACCGTGCTCTACTTTACAACTTCTTCTTCTTAGAACCTGCCTATTGAGGGCAAGTGCTTCCATTGACCTCCGAACTAAAGTTGCCGCAGTCCGGTTCTGAACCTCGAACCGGACCACGGTTCGGTTCAATAACGGTCCGGTTCGAGAGTGTCCAGCAGGGGAGCGGTTCGCGGTTCGGGGACTGACTAAATTTGTGGACCGTAGCGAACCTGTTCGAACCGTAACCGAACCATTAGTCCGTTAGTAGGGATCCGAAACAAATGATCAGACATCAAGCTTGTTATGAGTTATAACTTATGAGCGGCAACGATCTTGATCAGATATTTGGTACTGTACAGTTTTTTACTAAGTAACAAATATACCTGCTTGAATATTGTCTCGACCCCACTGACACGATGGACCAGTGCGCACTCAATATCGACGGATCGCTCAAAGATGCCTGCAACATAGAATGGGTGCATTCACCTACACAAAAAACTGCTTCCTTACCCCCAGTTGCTTCTCCGTCACTATCACCGACGTTACCCAATGAATCTACTACCTTCACATTTAGTACCCAACTGACTCCAGCAACCTTCGGGAACACACATCAGGTTAATGCCGTTCGCTATCCAGTGCTGAGTCGCATTGCACTCGACTTTTGCCTATCCAAGGGTCTTCCGTCCCTTGTGAACGTGCCTTTTCGGATGCTGGGCTCACAGACACGAAGCGGCGCGCTCGCCTTCTCCCAAAGAACTTCGGTGACATCCAAACTGTCAAAGGCACATATAAGAAGGAGCGGAGGCGCCAAAAAGCAGAGTTGGCTGCTCAACGGACAGCACAGAAGAAGCGCTTGATGGAATGATGCAGCGCGGGAGGTGCAGAAGCGCAATTCAGAGTAGCTAGCAACGAAAATTTTATTGTAGCATGGATTTTTGGTTCAGAACCGGTCCGAACCTGAACAGAACTGCATAGAACCGGTCCGTCGTCGAACCAGTGGTCCAGGTTCGGGTCCGGCAGAAATGCATACCTAGCTAGCGGTTTCGAGTTCAGGTTCAGATGAGATGTGCCCGAACCGGACCTGAACCGGACCACGGCAACTTTACTCCGAACACCCCCATCGGAAAAATGTATCAAACTGTGATCCATCAGTTGTGACATGTCATGGTAGATGCGGAGAAGGAAGTCATATTGTACATCATTTTCAAGTTCGTGTTAAGGAGTAAATTTACGTGAATACAACAGCATCACGCTCGCTACTAAGAGTCCGGAGCGTCTTCGTCGGGGAAATCCAAACATCACGCTCACTACTAAGAGTCCTGAGTTTCGACTGTTCATCTTGACTCAGATACTTCTGCAAGCCAGCCCGTTCACAGTACTTGTTGCAGATATGCTACGCCTCGAACATTGTCACCGCGACCTCTATGTTGCCGTCACCAAAATATCCTGCCCTCCGCTAATGGAGCTGACCGTCATGATAGTAGTGCATCAGTGGCAGCCGGAGGCTCCGGAAAGAGCTTAAGAAAATACATGCGGGTCCGTCAATATTGCTGCCACACTCACAGGGACCGAGGGGACTGCACTCGAGTGATGAGGTCCAGAGGACATTCAGTAAAGAATGCAAGCACGAAAAAACACCATCTTATCAGCTGTAGTAAATTGTTTGAAATTGATAGGGGAGGCTTGTGGTCGAACGTACCCTCTACGTGAGTATAGCATACGGTAGGCTGTATATAATTGCAAGCGTCTCGAGGCCGTGCTTGGGGCGCACGAGGACATCAATGCTGAAAGCACAGACCGCCAACACCTCCGAAGTCATGCAAACTGAAATGCGCAATCAAGCTCTCGTATGATGTCCCTGTAGTAAAGAGCGTACCGCTTATCACACACGGATGATCTGCTGCAATTGTCGAAGGACCTGAGAGCGGAGAACACTTGGGTGCGGACATGGCTCCACTTGCGTGAGCAGTCACCAATGACCATGCCTCGACTCGGATGTAGCCTAATCAGTATAATACATTCTGGTAGTGAAGCATACATCGATCGAATATACTCACAAACTGCTGTAGCACATACCAGTACTTGCGTGGCGCTTATGCTCAGATGTCTGAGTCAGAATAAGAGATACCTCGAATTATGACGCCGACGTATCACAATTAACGGTTAATAATTTTTTCTAATGGTCGTACAGGGTGGAACTTCGGAGGTCAATAGAAGCACTTGCCTCAATAGGCAGGTTCTAAGAAGAAGTTGTAAAAGTAGAGCACGGTGGTCTGGCTTTCCATATATACTAGGGTTGCTAGAGGAAGACTGTCCAAGTGGCGCTTGAGCTCGCGCGCCAAGATCGCATCGAAAATCGATGGCCATTACGGCTCCGTCCGCAGCTAGGAGCCTTCGGAGCCCACGGAAAGATACTCCATGGCAGGTCATAATTGCCACACAGCGAGCATTCATCACGACGATGAGGTTTAATGTCGACTCCCGTCGATCGGTTTGGATTAGCTCATAGTAGGAAGAACATATGGTGGGCATAGGGGCCTCCCGCAGACTACAGTACAAGAAGCACCTTTAGACGCCTCGGCTAGCTCCGATGCACAATCGTTAAATGCAACATCAAAACATGCCTGTCTCAGCTGTAATGTAGTTGAGAAGTGTAGTTCAAAGCTTGTTGAATAGATTTACTAAATTCTACTAAGTATCGAAATTTTTGCCCCCAAAAAAATTGAAACATAACTACGAAAAGTCATCCTGGCGCTGTCTAACCCTTCAGGGAGCATCCGCACCATCTAAAACATCTTGTGTGAGTTGTACACGATGGTGGCCCTTGTACTTTTTGATAGCAAAGCAGCTTGTCAAGAATTAAGCCCTTTGCTGATTACCTTGTGAGAACACAATTACCACCTTCAAAAACCAGAAAACACACCGGTAGGCGCAAGTTAGGCGTCCATATAACGCCATGTCTTGCGAAAAAATCGTCGGATGGTAAGTGTCGAACACATATCAAGGCATATCTCCCTAGCTCTAGTAGCTGCTCTACACAGCAGTGAAACTCCGTCACCAAAAATTGAAACAACACCCTAAAATTCATAAAAACATTAAATATTGACTATTTTGCTGCCTTTCCTAAAAATTCATCCTGGTGCAAATGGACCAAATTTGAGTCCTCTATGTAGTTGCCGCTTTAGTGCTTCCGGTACTATAGTAACATGGCACATGCCGACTTAATCGTCTCATCTGACTGGTGCCCTCTAATCCGACTCGGCTGCAGTGACCACTACCTGCGAGAATAAGAACACATATATCTTACATACATCATTTTGCTGCTGTTGCCGACAAACTATAAGTACACGTTCTCCTCTCCAGATTCCATCCCCCAAACCACTTCAAGGCAACGACAAAACAGTCTGCATAAACTGATCATAATTAATCTGCACCTATCCATCATTATCCGTATCAAGATTCTGGAACGCCTCGCTCAATTGCTTGATAACCACACGATAACCACACAAGCGCGAACGAAGCGATCGAACGTGATACCAGGAGTAGGACCGTAGGGGCTAGCTACATTGGAAGCTTTGATATCTTGCATTAGCATTGTTTTAGAAGAGTGAGTTGTGAGATGGCAACTCGACGGAGGCACGACTCGACAGTGGGAGAATGGACGACGCACCGTATTTGACTTGGACGAGTTCGATTAGGGGTGGGCTGAGGTTGAACCCGCATTGATGGAGGGCCTCGCGGAGCTCGTTACGGTCGATGGTGCCGGAGCGGTCTCTGTCGAAGTGGCGGAATACGTTCTGCCAGTCCTATTGATAGTTTTTTGATAAGCCGTGTAGGTGGAGCTAGGCGCATGTACGCACCTTGATGTATTTCCAGAGTCCACAGAACTAATCTCAATTAGATCGATAGGAAGATGAGATAGAATAGGGAAACAGTACTTCGTTGAACGCGATCGTGCCGCTCCGGTCGACGTCCTATCAGAACCGATAAACAATCGACCCAACAGCACAACTCCAATATCAGCACACACGCATCGACGCGCTTAGTTCACGCACATATCAAGCAATCGCGCATTGATGTATATATAAAGGTCTGCGGCTAGGTACCGACATCGCCACATACCCTGGCATATAGTCATCTCTACACGATAGTGACAAGAATACATGAAACTGTTTGGTAAAGCTCGTCAGTATCTGGTACATGAGAACACAGAGGGTACACGTCACGAGAGGTATCAGAATCATTCTACTCATCTGTAAGTGTATCATATTAGCCAAAGCGAAATCAAAATCAAAAAGAACAATTGAAATACCTGTATATGTCGCGCAAGTTTAAATATTTGTCTTCATATAGTTAAGCTAGCGTGTGGTGTGTTACTTACTGGTATTTGCTGAATGTACGTGCCCGGATAATAGACCTGTCATGACCTTCTTCGAGCCAGACTAAGGCCTGAAAAGTGTAAGAGGAAGTACCAAGATCCTCAGAGCCGATGTCCAGTTAATTTGATCATGAGACTTGCGACTTTTAATGGGCGCATATGCGAATACCAAAGGTCGAAGATCAAGTCAGACGAACTCAAGGCACGCTAGATTGTTGGTCGTAATTAATCCCCAGTGCCCACACGGAGAGAATGCCGATATCGCATGGCATCCTTGAAGCTCGAGGCCGTGTCGTTGAGTTCAGGAAGGTGACATGCACGATGAGGGCAAGAGCAGATTAAAACTCCGCTGCGAACCTCTGCAGTTACCAGTATACTAGTAAGTGCACTAGCAAACATCTCGAACAACAACGCGGATATCATCGATCCATCATCGGCTCCAGAACTTCAGTGCATGCCATATTCACAATTTCACATTGACACTTAGACTATATCACAGTGCTTTTTTCACACGCTCTTGCCCACAACATGCTAGGTAAGTAACATCATGATTAATACTCGAGCTCGAAAGGCAGCAGGAAAAGACAGGCTCGCTCAGTTTCCACACTGGAAGTCATCCCCATTAGCAACCACCTTGCAACAATTTTTGCAAGAACACTTTGTCCATGATATAATCGTCCAATCAGGTCCGCAGAAAAACCCGTAATCTTTTTCGTCGTTGAAACCCTGCAGGTCTGTTGAGCACTGCACTGAATCTATGGATAACCGTAAGTACACTGTCTGCACGTAGGCCGCAAAGGTGCTTACCATTTGGGTTACAGGGTAGGTTGATGGGTGTTGTAGTATCGGGCTGGTCAGCGATAGCTACGCCAGCCATCGCTGCGGCAGATATGACAATAGAGGTGAGTGAAGTGGATTTCATAGTCGAATCCTGATGGTGTTTGCTGCATCGGAGCGGGTACTAGGCTGTCTTTTATACACGTAACACAATCAGTGAAAGGTGCAGCCAAACACTTTTATGTGTTTGTATCACTGGACGCTCGGAAATGAAACAGATGCCAGCTCACGGCCTGCGACCTAATTTTCTTCTAGCTCATTCTTTTGGTACGGGTGTAGCCGTGTATGCAGGCCTCGGTGAACTTTGATTGATAACGATGACAGTGTGGTAGATGCACGCATGCAATATTGCACAATAACCAATTGGACTGTGGGATCATCGTCAAACATTGCTCCGAGGAGTAGGATGCAGTAGGACATGTACAAGATCATGATCGGCCTGGCCAGTATTCACCGCCACGGATTATTTGACAAGAGAATGAAGCAGGGTTGCTAGAGGAAGAAGACGAAGAAGGTGCCTGACTGTTGCTACCACTGTCCAAGTTGGCGCTGAGCTCGCGCGCCAAGATCGCATCGACGAAAATCGATGGCCATCACGGCTATACCTTTGCTGTCCGCAGCTAGGAGCCTTCGGAGCCCACGGAAAGATACCCCGTGGCAGGTCATATTTGCCACCCAACTCGAGCATTCATCACGACGATGGGTTTAATGTCGACTCCCGTCGATTGGCTCATAGTATGAAGAACATATGGTGTGCATGGAGACCTCTCGCAGACCAGTAACATGGCGCATACCGACTGAATCGTCTCATCTGACCGGTGCCCTCTAATCCGACTTGGCTGCAGTGCCCACTGCCTGCGAGAATAAGAACATAGATATCTTACATACATAATTTCGCTGCTGTTGCCAACATACTATAAGTACATGTTCCCCTCCTCTCCTGATTCCATCCCCAAACCACTTCAAGGCAACGACAGAACAGTCTGCATAAACTGATCATAATTAATCTGCACCCATCCATCATTATCCGTATCAAGATTCTGGAACGCCCCGCTCAATTGCTTGATAACCACACAAGCGCGAACGAAGCGATCGAACGTGATACCAGGAGTAGGACCGTAGGGGCTAGCTACACTGGAAGCTTTGATGTCTTGCATTAGCATTGTTTTAAAAGAGTAAGTTGTGAGATGGCAACTCGACGGAAGCACGACTCGACAGTGGGAGGACATACCGTATTTGGCTTGGACGAGCTCGATTAGGGGTGGGCTGAGGTTGAACCCGAATTGACGGAGGGCCTCGCGGAGCTCGTTACGGTCGATGGTGCCGGAGCGGTCTCTGTCAAAGTGGCGGAATACGTTCTGCCAGTCCTATTGGTCGTTTATTTGGTAAGCTGTGTAGGTGGAGCTAGGGGCGTGTACGCACCTTGATGTATTTCCAGACTCCGCAGAACTAATCTCGTTTAGATCGATAGGAAGATGAGATAGAATAGGGAAACAGTACTTCATTAAACCCGATGGTTCCGCTTCGGTCAACGTCCTATCACAACCGATAAACAATCGACCAAACAACACGGTAACAAAGAAGAGACTCACAAACATGCTCATCAAGAGCTTCACAGTGTCCAAATCAAACGCTACACCACCACCATCAGCGCCTATCCCAACCAAAATTCAAAAGCGAAAACTCACGAGTCCAATCCCCATTAACCAACGCTCTCTCTAATCACCAACGATCCCGAACAGAACACGATCAATAAAAACACTCATCTCAGTCAGAAAAGACGCACCAAGCTCGACAGCAGAGATCGCGCCTGATCGGTCCGTGTCAACAGCAGCGAACCACGACCATAGCCTTTCGTGTCATATGCGCATCAGTCAAGAACACACCGATGATGAAGGGGGTGGAGATAGAGCGCTTGCAATCGATGATGATAAGGATGAAGGGCTATACTAATGATGATGAGAATAAGAATGAATGACACTCACTGAGGATCAGCACCAGGTGGAGGACCTCCAGGAGCCACACCTCGACTAAATCCTCCAGGTGCCCCAGGTGGTGCCCCATATCCACCATACTGCAATAAGATAAGATAAAGCAAGCACCCTCTTGAAGTTAGCAACGATTCAGATTTATAGATCGCAAAAATACGCACGCCTGCATGATATGCCATGTCTTGATAAGTTGTGTGTGGGTGAGTGCGTGCGTGCTTCAAAGGTTTTGTTGGTGGTGGGGAACAAGCGCTGTTTGGTGATTGATGAGGTCTTATGAAAGGAACTGCGTGTGGCAGTGTAGCACAACGAGGGTCGAATCGTTGACATCCATTATAAGCGTTATCTTAGCGCCCTGTACGGGGCCAAGTACATACCCTCACGTACAAGTATCATATGATGATTATAAATTACCTCGGTGAGTTCAACCTAGTCAGCTGAATCGTTTCAAATCGTTGATCGTCATCAATGCATCATAATACTCCAAGTACAAAGCTAAAAAAAAAAGAGAAAACGATGACATGCCCACAGTATAGCTAAAAACAAACGAAACGAGAAAAGCAAACAGATAGCCCTACAAGAAGCATTGAATTGGACGCTAGCGAACAAAAAGCAAGCAAGTGAGTATATGTCACTCACGAAGACGAGGGTGACTTACAAGACGAGACATGGCGAAAGAGTGAGTTCACAAATACGAAAGACGAAAAACAAAGTAGGACTCGAGCGAGGAATCGGAATCAGAAACGACATGCGACATATGAACAAAGTACATATGGATGTGAGTGTGAGCTTGGCATATTGCACTGAGTATGCAAAGTAGATCGGCTGGGCGCATATATGCACTGAGCAAACCAAGTAGACGTGTTGGTTTGGGTTGATGAGGTAGTTGATTTGATGTGGTTTGGTTTGGGTGAGTGAGTGAGTGATAGAGTGGTGTGGCGTGGTGTGGTTGGTGGTCATATGCCGTGATGTGGTGCAATGTTAGCTTGCGAATATAGTGTATAGATAAGAGCGTGACGTCGAGAGTGCAGCGTCCACGACAGACGCCCTGTGCAGCGTCTACGCCAAACGCATTGTGCAACGTCCACCGTGTTCCCTGGATGCGATGCGTAGTTTGGGAATCCGCCAAGCGTGGTTCGGGAAACTGCCATGCGTAGTTCGGGATCCCCCAATAAACTCGAGCATTGAGATCACCTGATAAGTCTCCCATAATCCAACCTCGTTTCCCGCTTCTCCCCACCCTCCTTCTTCGGAAACGCATTCCAGAACCTAAGCGTCTCATCCCCAGCACCTGTTACGATTGTCTCACCTAGGAACATAAATCAGCATCGCATCCCAGCACCATTGAACATTACAGCCCTAGCACCCGAGCATCTCATCCCCACCACCACCCACTGAATAACATCAAAGAAAAGCCGACTCACCATCAGGACTCATAGCAAGATACAATACCCGATGCGTATGCCCCGTCAAAGACGCCACCATGTTCAGCGTCGGGTATTTCCAGATACATATTTGGTTTTGGGCTGTGGTGCTGCTGAAGCCGTGGGTACTGACGAGTTCGTGGGAGGTTAGGGACCAGATTAGGTTGCAGACCTGTGTCGATCGAGGTTTAGTTTTAGAGCGGATAGAATAGGAATAGGCAGGGAAGAAGGGGAATGGAAGAGGAGAAGGAAAGACACACCTGACTGCCAGTATCAAGCTCACTAAGCATCGTCCCATTAAACGTATTCCAAAACCGAATATGTTTATCCTGCGTCCCTCCTCCAGTCGCCAACACCCCACTCACGTGTGGATCCCAGGCGAGTGCTTTGACTGCTGCTGTGTGCTCGTGGAATTTCCAGAGTGGCGCGTCTCCACTTCCGTTTCCCGCATCATCCACACTACCTGATCCTGACGTAGAACTTCCAGTAACAGAAGTGCGTTTCGAACCTCGTAGATCCCATATACACACTTTGTTGTCGTTCCCCCCACTTGCCAACGGCCCACCGTCCCTAGCCCACTTCAACCCACACACCTCCTGTCTGTGCCCCGCGCACCGCTTAAACGGACGGTGAGAGGCCTCTCGGACATCTCGATGGTGCACCATACGGTCTCGCGACCCTGACGAAAGGATGTGGGAATTCCAAGCGAGAGCACCGATGCGTTGAGTGTGAGCATTGTTATACGAGCGTTGTACTTGTAGAGTATTAGCGTCGTAGATGTGCATTCTACCCGAGAGAGTTCCGATAGCGAGCAACGTGCCCTATCAAAGCGTCGAATCGAGAATAATTGATTAAAAGGCGAGATATACGGACCTTTTGGACCCATGAGACGGAGCTGACTGTATCATTTGAAGCTGCTAAATCGCATAGCTTGGAAACAGCTGCATTATGTGCTGTCCATAGGTACACGCAGCTTCCTAGTCCAACGCCAAGTACATTCGTATTGCTCCAATCTACGAGATTGAGGTAAAAATCATCCGCGAGGTCTGGTGCGTCGAGAACGCGATAGGGCGTTTTGCAGACGCTGCGGAGTTGTCTGCGGGGGGACTCGAGGAGTTGACGGGATTCTGCGCGTACGGGGCTCATGGAATAGGCTTCGTCTGTTGGAGTGTCGAGTCTGCGGGTTGGTGTGCTGGGGTTTGCTGATGTGGCGGGAGAGGTGTAATGGAATATGCGTTTTCTGGTAGGTGTACTAGGTGGGAGAGTTGTTGTTGCACTTGAGGAAGTTGTAGGTCGCTGGGGGGACGTGGGTCTACGTGGGGAAGGGGGGGTTACTTCTGTGTGGAGGATGGAAGTGAATATTGCGTTTGCTTGTTCTGTAGGTTGATTAGTTGGCAATCCCAAGTATCACCAAGGTGACTTACCCTTCAATGCATCTGATTCTGTTGGTATAATTCTAGATTTTGAAGGTGTTGAAGGACCGCTTTCTTCCATCAAGTGATAGCTCGTTCGCATATCTCCAGCATCCCGTGAAGGCACAAATCTGTCCCCGTACATATCACGCATCGTGACAGGCGACTCTGGCGTCACGTCCTTTGTTGTCGACGATGTGGCGGTATAGAAAATTGGGTTAACGCGCTGTCGGTTTCTTCGTGGACCGTCTTCTTCGTTGTCTTGATGTGTTGCGCGTAGTCGCTTGCCGAAGGGCGAGTTTTTGAGTCCGGACATTAAGCAATTGGCTTGATCTAGTCAACGTGATCGTCAACGAGCAGGGTCCACGGCGAGCATCTACAAAGCAACAACCCCCAAAGCTGTAGTCAAAGCCCAAACACAAGGCACAATCAATTCAAGGTAAAATTACATAATCGATTCAACGTAGCGGAGCTTGAACATGTCATTCGCTACATCACGTCTATGGCTAAGCGCTAGGCTATATTGGTGAATCACCTGCCAGTGTTATTGATAATTCATCCTGAACTTCCGTGCCCCTTTTTCAACGTGGCCTAATGCCTCCAGGACCCCTCTCGACCAACATATAGACGTGTTGAGCTTGACTTGAGTCTACGGACTACATTAGCGGGATTTCCTTGATGAGTTCCTGGCACTTAGCATCTCTCGCACTGGTCACCGTTTAGCAAAATCGACACTTCTGATCTTGGTTGAAAATGACCATATCCTTCGGTGGCAGCGACGGAGATGTCAGATAATGTCCTGCTCAATAGCTGTAAGTGGGTGACATTTCAAAGGCAGACTCGCTCACCTGAGGCTCATGAAGTTTGAAGTTTGAAGCGTCATGTCCTTTGTGACTGCCCAGCGTGGTTCTCGAAGGTAAGTGTCGGTTTTTTCGACTTCATCGTTATTTGTGTGCTCACTTTTCTGTCAGTACCAGAGTCTGTCAGAGAACTACCGACAACGCTCCAGTTCACACTGAGAACGTATTTTTGACGCAATATCACTGTCGATCCATGCAACTATGGCGTTATACTAGGGATGTACAAGGTGAAATCCCACTCGTCACATTGCTATGCGCCAATGCCGCCGCCGATCCAGCCAGCCAACCCGAAAGCCATTGCATGGAAATATACAGTCCTGTTCTGTTCTTTGAGGAGAGTTACGACATCGTGCAGAATAAGTAGGACGTTGTCCATCACGCGCGCGTCCGCCATAACATAACAAACTGCCAACTCCTTGATTATACAACGTTTTATACAGTTCCACCTTCTTAACGACCTCCATGGACATGCCACGCTACCATGTTCAGCGTTGGGTATTCTCAGATATAGATTTTGTTTTGGGCGAGGGTGCTGCTGAAACCATGGATATTGACGAATTCGTGAGAGGTTAGGGACTATATTCGGTTGCAGACTGTGTTCATCCACTTTTAGTTGATCGCGCTTGAGGAGGTTGTAGGACGTTGGAATGGAGGTGGGCCGGCGTGGAGAAGGAGGTTACTTCTGTATGGAGGATGTATGTGAATATTGCGTTTGATTATTCTGTAGGTTTATTATAGTTCGTAAATGGGACCGACATCGAGGTGACTGACCCTTCTAGTAGTAATTTTGCATTGGTATAATTCTAGATTTTGAAGGAGTTGAACCTTTCATCGATCAAGTGATAGCTTGTCCGCGTATCGCCAGCATCCTATGAAGGTATAAATCATAAATCTGTCCCCACATATCGGGACTTCAGGTACTTTGTAACAGGCCGCCGCTATACAGGCTACTCTGGCATGGCGTCTGAGTCATTTTTGTTGAGAGTGTCGGCGGAATAGAAAGTTGGGTTAACGTAACGCGCTGTTGATTTCTTCGAGAACCTTCAAAGCTTCGTTGTCTTGATGTGTAGTCGCTTGCCAAAGGGGAACGTTAAGTACGATATCCGCGTCATTTCAGCGAGTCCATCTATAAATTACATAATCAATCCAACTAGCTTTACTGAAACGTTACACTTAACGCGCGACCTTTTCAACGCCGGGCCATTCTTATTGTATGCCTCGACCTATCGCTTCTCTATACATGCACTCATCAACGTGCGTGCTTACGCGTCTGTTGCTAGGCTAGAACTTGCGGTAACACCTTCACCGACCAGTGCAATCATGACATTATGCTCTGGAGTGAGAAATGTTGATTTATTTACTTGTAGCAGTACCACCACTGATCCAGCCAACGTGATATGAAGTATATCTCGCTCTTTTCTTCTTCAGGAAAGTGACACTGGACGTGCGAAGTAAAGATGCGGTGTCTAAATAGAGGTGACTCAGTCTCTGTGGAGGTAGTCTTGTCGTTTGTATACTGACATTCCAACTGTAGAGAGACTGACTCACCTGTGGCTTGTGGAATTTCGAAGGTCATGTCCTTCGTAACCGCCTGGGGTTGTTCCTGAAAGGTAAGTATCGACTTTCAACTTGATCCCTAATTGTCTGCTAACTTCTATTGTCAGAGTTGGCCGGAGAATTACGAGCGATACTTCAGGCTTAGAACATACTTGCTTTCGCGTCGGCGACGTGGCTTGACTGCCTATTAGCTCATGCGCGTGTCACCTTGTACTTATGTTTATCGTTTCATTCTGGATTTTTGGTATATGATCCAGGCAGATAGTGTTTGTAGAAGGTGGGACATTAAGATGAATTCCCAGCAATAACGTCCTCGCTCATGATAATCTCTAGTAATTAATAACCGGTAATTTTCAGAATCCACAGGGCCAGTGCATTGGACGACTAAAATGGAACAATAGCTCTGCTATGGACCAGTACCGGGTCACAACTTCTGGTCCCACACACAATGCGACTCCACTGCTGTGGGTGGAGCCACAATCCACGAGGCGAGTATTAAAGGCGTCAAACCAGCTTCATCTTTTACTCGCAAGTCATGGAATCTCCTACTGCCATTTCGTTTAGATTCAGCGACCTTCCGACTGAGCTTGCCCTCCTCATCCTCAAGTATGCCGCACAACCAACTTTTGCTCCACATGCCCCTTACACTATCAAAAACCCATACTCATCCACCCTTTCACTATCCCGCGTCTCCAAAATCGTCAGGCGCACTGTGATGCCCGAAATTCTGCACATGGTATTACTGGCAGAACCTCGCCAGGTAACAGCTTTCATATGTGCTCTGCGTATGCAGCAAACATATGTCGATCAACAACAGCATGATCTATCTCTTAATTACGCAGCTTGCGTGCATAAGATGTTGATCGGAGAGTTTCGGGGACCTCTGCAAGGCCCAAATGCTCCCTTCATCAACTTTATCCCTTTACAGCTGAGCTTGACTCGGGGTTCGATATCAGTCTGCTGGCTCCTGTGATCCTTGCCTGCACCGTCCCTTGTGATCAACTTTGGGAGTCTGGACATTCTTTTCAGTTGCCTCAAACATACGTGCAACTCCGACGTCAACTACAGAAATTCCCCGCTTCCTTGGAGCACGAAAAGTTTGACGTTTTCTGGTAATTTCTCTCGTCAATGGTGGCCCTTCCTGGGGTCTGTCTATGGATATTCATTCCTTGCTTCCATCCAACACCTCACTCTACACTCTTATATATCCCTCAAAACATGTTTGCCCTCCCAATGCAACTGTGTCAGGGAAATTAAATCTCGACATTTTCTAACTTACATCGTGCCCGTGTGGATGGCTCGTGCTCCTATCAAAGGACTGGAAACATTCTCACTGGCCATTCCGCACGTCAAAAGTCCGGCCATTGGATGTGCGATTAGCGACATGGAGATATGGGTGAAGCTGGTCACGTTCCCTGGTTCTGTGCTGCCAGACCCTTGGACACAGGAGGAAATGAAGGCATTTGTTGAGACTGGACTCGGAGTGGGGACCCTTCCATGGGTTACACTACCGGTGTTCCTTTCTCACAAGTTGTTAGAATTTCAACGTGAGGCCTGAGGGCCCACTGGCACAGGCGTCAGATGGATCAATAGATATATGTACTCACTCGCAATGGGTTGTATTGTTTACTGTACATAGCTTGGACATGTTCCTTATTTTTCATTTAACTTGTTTCGCCAGCAACATGAAGTACGCCTTCTCAATGTACCTGTCTATGTCGTCTAGAATCTAGCTCGGTCATCAGCAGTCCTGGTGTCGTTGAGAGAAAAGTAACCTAAAGTTGCATCATGCAGACGGTAGAACACACGCTTATGGGCCACGTAATTCTCGTGAGCATTGTGTTCAGGCAAAAGTTGTGATAAGTAATGGTCGACCGACCAACGATTAGCTTGCCCTAGTAGGACGCAAGGAAAATAAGTCATTATTTCCTCAACTGTTATCCCTTGAAACTAAACACGTATTTTTCGTATTTCGAGAACAGATTATGATCAGAGTGATTACAACGTACCAGAAATAAGGAAAGCTCTAGGCTGTTGATGAATCCAGACTAAAGTTCGAGCTAGGAGTCATCAGCGCCCGTCGAAGATGATATTAATTTATCTCAGGAGCTGGAAAAGCTCCTTGGCTACAATACCTTTGCAATTGAAACACGACTTCCTGTTTCTCTCTACTGGATATGCTCTTGTATATAGACATCCCTAACAAGGGTATAGCGTGTGGGGGTGCGGTGCAAAGATACTGGGCGATGGCATACCGGTGTTGTGTATAAATTGACGGGCTCGGACAGTTATAGAGCTGATAGATTCGGATAGGGGACTGAGACAATCGGAGGGCATGTAGTACAGGATAGTAAAGAACAGACATTGATAATGGACTGCCTGTGACGGCAAGCGACAAGTTGGCGAGTTGAGGCAGCCTGAATTGTCTTGCAGAATGACGTGGCAAGGTTGACGTCATTATCATGTCCATTCAATGGGGCCGGCGTCAGTTCTCGTCTATTTTAATTTCGATCGTTGTTTGTGTGCAGACTTTCTTTCAGTATCCGAGAACTACTGACACCCAGTGAAAATCGACAAGAAAGAGGGTAGATAGGTAGCAATAGACGCCTAAGCACAAATTGAGGTAGATACAAATCCAAGAAATTCGAGACGGCAAAACTCTGATTTCAGCGCGCCAGTTCACACTAAGAACTTACGTTTGACACGTTTTGTAGCAATGCCAACCATAGCATTGGACTAAGTAGGGACATGCTCACCCCATCACATCACTGTGCATCACGCCACAGCCAATCAAACAAGGTTACCCAAAAGCAATTGTACGGAAACATACAGTTCTTGTCTTTGAGAAAGGTTACAGCATCGTACGAAATAAGTAAGACGTCAATCACGCGCGCGTCTTCCGTAACATAAAAAATTGCCTTTCCCATACAGTTCTACCTCCTTAATCACCTCCATGGACATGTCATCAGTCAACAAAGCGTATCACTGAGCATTGTTGTATTGATTAGACGGTGTTGCTGAATACGAATAGATCAGCGGGACTGCGACAACTGCACAAGATATCACATACGAAGGCGGTGCTGTAAAACAACTTCAATAATTGTATCCATTAACTCTGCCTTCTTCTGACAGCGTATCCACCGAGAGAAACTTGTTTCATATGTGTGGGCGGCAGGGCTCAGAGCTTCCCTGACAGCAGCTGCATTGGGAGACGCCATGTACTGCTGAAGAGCAACATGAAGAGGGTGAACGGACTCCTGCTCAGGATGGCGTTGCTGTTGCAAAAGATGGAAAGTGTGTTCAAAGATAATGATAGCAGCTTGTGATCAATAATCAGCAGATGCATTGCGATGTGATGTAAATCTCACCAGAACCAAGCTGCATGACTTTCTCCAATGTTGATGACCCAGAAGGCTAGTAAAACTTTCAGATGAGAGTTACATGGACGAGTTGTGAGCAATGGGACATGCCAAAAGGTGTAATGTGGACCACATCTCCTCATCTTTGGAGCGATAACTCTGACGAATCATGATCAAAAGGCAGAAATGGTTGAGGATAAATCTACTTGCATACTGTCATTATCGACATATCAGTGCTTGAGTTCAACAGAGGATCAATACACTCACTGGCTGTCAAGGGACCAGGGACGCGTTCGGTCAGCGAGCGTCGAGCTCAGCATAGGATTCACACACTCACATACTGTCAAGGGATCAGGGACGCGTTCAGTCAGCGAGCCTCGAGCTCGACACAGGATCAACACACTCACATACTGTCGAGGGATCAGGGACGCGTTCGGTCAGCGAGCCTCGAGCTCGACACAGGATCAACACACTCACATACTATCAAGGGATCAGGGACGCGTTCGATCAGCGAGGCTCGAGCTCGACAGAGCATCAACACACTCACTCCCTGTCAAGAGATCAATGACGCATTCGGTCAGCGAGCCTCGAGCTCGACACAGGATCAACATGCTCACGTCCTGTCAAGAAGTCAATGACGCGTTCGGTCAGTGAGCCTCGAGCTCGACACAGGATCAACACACTCACTCTCTGTCAAGGGATGAGGGACGTGTTCGGTCAGCGAGCCTCGAGCTCGACACAGGATCAACACACTCACATACTGTCAAGAGATCAGGGACGCATTCAGTCAGCAAGCCTGGAGCTGGACGGAGGATCAACACACTCACTTCCTGTCAAGGGATCAGGGATGGGTGCCAAAAGCGAGCCTCAAGCTTGACAGAGGACCAACACACTCACAGACTGCCAATGCGTCATCAATGCCTTATCTCAGCATGCTGGCAGAGATCATCAGACGTACTATCGTCAGCGGAAACCATTCACCCAAATCATCTACAATCTGGCGGTCGGATTTCTCAAACAAGCGCGATGAGATTTCGTGTGTGGAGTTGAGATATTCTCCAAGTGACCTCAACACACAGTGAGTTATCTCTCGTCACAGATAAGTCAGGTTTGAAGAGTTACTCTGTGACTGCATATCTCATGCATATCTCCAAGGCGGTCTGCTGAGTCGAGACAAACAGCTTTTTGAGCGTATCACCATCCAGAGTTTCAGCCGTGCATTCGATAAGTGGCCCGCAGTCTGCATCGTCCTTGTCCATATCTAAATGTCCCAGAGTGAACATGAGCGCAAATTGAGTATCTGCAGTTGAGAATTAGTCGACTTACCAGGCAGGCATATGTGACACCTTGGAGGACGTTGGTTGCCCTTGCAGTTGTATAAAAGCTTTACTTGGGGCCCATTGGCAAATGCTTCTTTGGCCTGCTGTGGGGCCTGCGCTTCAGCATCTTTTCTCGATAATCCGTTACTCATCAGCTCTGCAAATTCATCGTCGTAGAGAGCATCGAATTTAGTGAACAACACTATTACTGGAACTGAGGATTGAAAATCAGTCGATGATGAACGATGGCAAATCCAAAAACTTACTGCTTCCAGTGTCACAGTGAGAGAAAAACTTCACTTCCGCTTCTGTGAAAGACCTGCCATCCTCATCCATCGGAATGCAGTACCTATGCTAAAGATGTGAGATAGCGCACGCCAAAAAAATGATCAACTACCATATGATATGGATTCGATCACTCAAAATTCTCTTCTTAGAACGGCTTGCGATAAAAGCCTTCACCTTGTCGAATTCGGATTGTCCTCCTGCTTCAAATCCGCGTGAATCGTGAAAGACGAATCCTGGGTTGCTTCGAAACACCATTTCATTCTCGATATCGTGTACTCCGCGCTGAAAATTGTGACGTAACTTTACCAACAACAAGAAACACGCCCTACCTCTCTAGATGCCATTAACACAGCGGGATCGATCTGATTTCCAATGTCCACCGATCAATCATCATCATCCTAGTCACTACTGGCATCATGAACTGCACCTTTTCCCCAGCGCTGTTATATATTTCTGGGTTCTCCCACGTCTTGCAAACCCTCTGGAGGATGGTAGTTTTTCCTGCATCCGCTCTTCCCACGATAAGGATTCGGAAACGCTCGAATTTCCGTCTCAACTCTGAATGGTCCATGATGGAGGGAGGATAACGGTGTGTGAACTCTTCAAGCGCCTGAGCCACAATACAAGTGATAAGGTCCAGGAATATCTCACACCGGCGGTTTGGGGATTTTGCCTTGGGCAATATTTTAATCGAAATGAGAATAAATAATTAGCCATTTGCACTTTGAATTTCACTACTGGGACAACGGCAAATTCCGACTGAGGGCAAAATGCCAATGCAAAACAAACCATTTCGACACCAATTTAAGTGTATAGAATACTCGAAATTTTCCCTTTTCGAAATATGTTGGTCGATATATGAACTTATTTATCCACATTTATCCACAGACAAATCCAAAATTTTGATGGGCAGCAAAATGTTCTGAAAAATATTACATAATAGCTGGCGCTTTGCCACCCCAGGGAATTTGGAATTTGCCCAACATTTAAATGCGCCGGGAAAAATGCAAAGTTAATCTAATTGGTAATTTTAATGGGCATTCGTTGGGTGCTCACTGCGCATTCATTGGGCGCTCACTGCGCGCTGAGCATTAACCACACCAAAAAGCTACACTCATGTAATAATGGTCATAGAATATCATAGATGGCGAGGAATGTTTCACCCATTTCCTACTTTCCGGACGGCAAGCGCACTGAATATTTGTTGGAGTAGCCTAAGCAGCCATGCATGGCCACGTTTCGGCTGCAAATCTTAACAGCTCACCGGATATGTGCATCACTGTTATGAACAGGGACGACCTGAGAGTGGAAAAGATTTCGATAAGATGGGTACTTGTACGTTAATATCGGGTAGTCACCCATAGCAGATAATCACCCCTTCTCTTTACTCTCCCAGTTCCGCCTCTCATTCATTTCACCCATGAACTCGAATGCTCAGATTCATCCTTGTAGTCCACCACCGAGCGCTTGACGCATATGCGTATATCAAGTTCCATATCGTTGGAATTATGAGCCGATGTAGGCTTGTTGAACTCTGCATCGCTAGCGCTTTTAGAGCCTTTGGAGTTGCTCTTGGACTCGAACTGCAAGGGGAGACCGGTCATCACTTTTTTCTGCGCGCTGAGAGTGGGACACGTGACAATCACGTTTTCTAAGCGTTGGGTGTCTTGTCCTGATTTTCCTTTGTAGTTGTGGGTGGGCGGAAAGATGACAACGAGCTTCAGCAGAATGGTAGGCATGCTCTGGGGTGGCGCACACCTCGCACGTTGATGAGGATCCATTGGGTCACGTACATTAATAACACTAGCTGTTGGTTCCAAAAGTCAGTGTGAGCCCAAGATTATATTATAAGCTGGAGCTCACGGATTCCATGAAATAGATCAGCGAACCACTCCGCCTAAAATGAATAAGAGCAAGGATATTGTGACTGTGTAATAAGAGCCTACCAAAGTTGACAAGAGGTATAGCAACGCTAATACAATTCCTATCCACCTATCTCTTCTTGCAATATTAAATGTCCTACAGGGTGTTTTAAGTCTGTTGAGCTGCAATCCAAAAAAAAATCGACAGGATGTACCTGATCCCCAAAATGGCCTGTAATGTCATAGTTTGTATGGCTACAGCGTGATCAACAGAGTCCAGGGACTGGTGAGAGAATAACAATAGGACAGACCTTTGAAGATAGGCGCCACGAGGGGTAGTATCGTTGACACGCAGGTTGAGTATAGGCGGTGGAGAAGTATCCATAATTGGTGACTATCATAGCCATGATACTAACATAGCTGCATTGAATGTGAGCACAAAAAATGACAGACCGAGGACAAAATGTACTGTATGGAAATGAATAAGGCACATGCAAGACTGACGGAAATCGAGATTGTCAATGGTGGTACGTGAATCCCCGCCGCATACACATACCTTATATGAAAGATGGATGATTGGCTTCGGTAAAAGCACCATTCTGCGGGGGAGAGTTAGGATACAACTGAACAAAGGCAATCAGAATATCTGCGGGGCTGCAACTAAAAAAGAAAAAGACTTACTCGTAAGTTGCAATGGAAATGGATGCTATTCGCAAATACTTTTCCGAGGTTACGCTGTCTGTAAGTAGGTGCTGCACCGTTTAATAGATGAAAGGCGCGTTGATTAACTTTGTATAGATAGATTGTAAGTCAAATAGATCAGTGAGTGTGACACATCACGAAGTGACTTCAGATATTTGTTCATTGAAAGTGTAACACTTTCATCTTGCTGACTTCAGAGATTTAGTTATCAGAATCAAACATTTTCATCTTACCATGACAATATGGCTGAGATTCACGAAACTGTGAGTTGTCAGTAGCTGATCAGATGCAAGAACTGACGCATTTCTGCAGGAAGTTGACATTAATCAATATGAAAATGTGAGTTCTATGGCAGTGTAAGTGAGTACACTAATGTTACATCATTAGTCTTTAGATGGGGAGGTTGGGGAGGTGGAGGAGCGGGCTGGGTCAGAGGAGCAGGGTATGGCAGAGGAAGAGCGTGCCGAGACCTTTGCTGTAACACGATCTGCAGTGGTAAGCCCAACTGTTGCTTATCTTCGTTAGCAAATTCTGATATATCTAGATGTTATGGGACTATGCACAGGAGATCGCACAAGACAATACGGAATTCGCGCATGCCCATCCACATGCGCCACGCCCCATTCACCCACCCATGCAGATATCGCGCCGCAACAAATGCCTGCTTGCATTGATGGTGGAGGATAGGTGTGAGGCGGTGATTCGGCTATGGGAAGAGTTAAACGAGATTGAGCGCCTGTTGGGTTTAGAGAACATTTAGGGAGGATAGGTGCGAAGCGGTGATTTGGCTGTGGGAGTAGTAGTTAAACGAGATCGAGCGCCTGTTAGGTTTGGGGAATGTTTAGGAAGAGCAGGGAGAGCAAAAGTCGTATAGATTACAGACCGATTTGTGATTTTGTGTTCTACAGAGGTGGTGCGTCAGTCTGGTGGCTTGCGAGGGAGTGGGACTTCACCAAATGTCTGCCTGAGGCGTCCTGTCGCATTTACAAGCGAGTAAGATGTGGGGTTGTTGACAGAGCGCCTGGCTGCGTGTCATACTGGGTCGTATAGCAGGCACTCTACTAAACAAAATGCGTCAAGGCTTGTAGTAAAAAGTGACTTAAACACCTCCCCGCCCAATACTAGTGCCCACAAATCTCCCGCCAGAAAAATTCATTTTTACTATCCTGCCTCACACACTAAGCACAAAGAATTTTATGATACTACCATATACATAATCTGCACCTCAGAAGACTATTTAATAGAGTACGTTGACTTCTTTTCGTCTTGCTTGTTCTGCCAAGAACTCAATCCTATTGATTTGTGAGACCATTAAAACATGTCAGAGAGAAAGGGACACGCACAGGACACAGAGACACGGCAACGATGTGCTGTGGGGAAAATTTCCACCGTGCGAAGTGTGACACTACCCACTCAGGCCTGACAACCTCAAGGTGGTCAGCGAGCGACAACGAGTGTAACTGAGCCGGGAAGTAAGGATAATGGCGAAAAGGGTCTGGGTAAGAGTGCAGCGGGAGGTGGCGCTGCACAGCGAAGCCCAATCCATCCTTGGTCCTGAAGATGTATCTAATGGTTCCTGGTATTTGCATGTGTGTAACACTGTCAGGATAGTAGAGAACCAGGCTGTTTCCCACATGAGTGGATTCACGAGTGTAGATTGATCCCTTGTAAGTTACGCGGGCATGCAGGACGGCTCGCTTGACCTTAATGAGAGATCGGAGGTCTGCCGGAATATCTTCGTTTGGTGTAGTAGGTACTAGGGAATCTTCAATTATGGCGTTGACTGTGGGAGAAACAAATCTGTCAAATAAAGATTTCACATCTCTGAATACCGGAGGGCAGGAAGGCCAGTTCAGCCAGTGCTTCAACTTTGCAGCCTTGATGTGAGAGGAAAGGAGCGTTGATTCTTGCTGACCTTTATCAGAACTAGTGTTAGAAGGTTCGTACAAAAAAAAAGGTGAAACTGTCACCAAAAATGTGGTTAATTGGCAAACGCTGCAGCTGTCCGATGAGGTGCTCATATGGGAAGCACCACCATGACCGAACAGGACCGAAGAGCTGCAGATAGTCCCAGACATGCAATGCCATGTGACCATTAGTACGATGGGGTGCATGGGGATGTAAAACCCGTAAGTCTCGTATCCATGCCACAATGTATCTGTGATACGCTTGTGCTCAAGCGGCTGTCATAAATCGCAGACATGCAATGTGAACTGCAGAGACAAGGGACATGGTGTGATCGAGGATGGCACGACGATTGGCTGAAACTTCTGAGGTTCGATGTTGAGATCCTTCACCCCATAAACTGACCAGCACTATGGGTAAGTACACAGTCGTCAACGTGCGCCATTCGTCTGCTTTCAGGGATCCAGCTCTGGCTTCTCCGAAGTTGTATGGGACTGATCGTAATGAAGATGGCATATCTGTCGTTCGAATAACATCAACGATGCATTGCATGACTTCAGGGGTACTGATGCACAATCTCGGCGATTCAATAATAAAAGGCTTTGTTCAACGCTATAAAGGCAAGTGAAGCGGCAGTTTGAGAAGGTGTGCAAGAAGACTAGAAAAACGACACACCCAAGTAATAAGTGACCTAACCCAGTGAACCTTGTAAACCTTCTTTCCAGAGTGTGCAACATCTGGCCCAATGCCCAGTTCTGCTGCCACGAACTGAAGGTATGCGACCTTCTTTGAAGAAAGCTTCTTCTCCAACTCAGTCATGTGAGTCTCGATGAGTTGAGTGTCATTGCCCTCGAGGTCAGGAATCGCTGCGGTAAGGAGGTTGCGAATGTACTTGATATTCTTGACATCTTTCTCACAGAAATCTTCAGGCTTGTGGAGATCGATGTCGGGAAAAGGATGATGGAAAGCAGGCAGAGAATCAGTCTTTTGCTGCGCCGAATCAGCTGTAAGACCCAAAAATTCCCGGAAATGATCGTGCGCGAGACCCTCGAGTAGACAATGCATAGTGTCAACGACGACTTGATGAGAGGGATCCCAATAAGAGAGTCTCCAAAGTGTTGACCATCGCACCCTGTGTAATGAAAATAACTTGTTGCGCTCAGCAGAAGTGCTAGCATTCTTCCACAGCTCAGCAAGGCAACACATTTTGTTCTTGTCCCGAAGAACCCAATCTGTAGAATGAACATCTGTTCTACCACAAGTCGATCTGTGAAAACAATGACACGCAGTGCAATAAAAGTGGCTTGTTGGACCAGCTAGCTGAGCGGCCTTTCTCGCTGCTGGAAGGTCGCACACTAGACATGCTATGATGCTGCACGTGACCCGACCATGCGCCTGTAGAGCTGTGCGGGAGAAACGTATCCCACATTCCCGACTTTCTACGAAGTCGTCAACAACAGGATCAAGGAAGTGGTTCAACTGATCTCCTGAGGGTTCCGAAGGTCCTGGAATGATTCCGGCCAAGTACATGTTTTCTGGCTTATACTGGATATCGAGGGGGAGGTTCAAGCATGTGCAAGAGATTATTCCTGTGGAAGTCGATGCGCTCCGCTGAAGATTGCCTTCGATGTTGAAGAAATCAACGTTGAGCGTGAAAGCGAATCGACCTTCGATGCCTCTATCGATAAATAATGATTGTGTCGGACCCTTGAAATTGCGAAAAAGTTGGCGTCCCAGACATCTTTGATGATATGCGATGGCACGCTCCCAAGTGAAGCTAGCAAATTATCACATGGTGTGTCCATTATAGCTTCCAGGTCGCGACGAGACAGCAGTCCAGCGAGGTAGTCATGGAAGTGATGATAAACAAATGATTTTATTGGTTTCAGTTGCCCATTAGAGGAGCGCTGCAGTAACGATTCGCCACAAGGTGCATCCTCTGGCTTCGGTCTGTTAGAACAATTGAGGGGATAGTGCGCACTACTTGAGTCAAAATTGGCCCTCGGTTTGAACGTGCAATTGCACGAAGGACAGACTGTGTAGGTGGTGGTCTGGCCGTCAAGCTTGAAGCATGAAAGGGCAGCCTCCATTGTTTGGGGGATTTGAGAATGTATGTTTTGACCACGAGACTTTGAATGAGGGTCTGGGCTATCCATGGCAAGGCTCAAGATGAGTGAAAGAACGCCCATCAGAAACTCCCCGTGTCTGCAACCAATGCTGAAAATGACGACAGACACAGCTCCTAGGAAAAGGGATACCTGGGCGATCTCGTCGCAGTAATCAATGGGCAGATTGTAATGATGTGCTGCGTCTGATGCTAGCGGGACAAGCAGAATGCGAGAATAAACAAAACTCACAGGAATCAAATTCGACTGACTCAGACGACATGGGAAGCCCATCTTCCTTGCTGAGAAGAATTTTTTGCATTTCATCGCACGACGTCTCTAGCTGAGTCCTGCAAGATATGGTGGAGGATACCTTGTTTTTCACTTTTGCAAGGGCCCGGATTATCACAGACAGCTCATCACGGATGGAGCACAATACATCACGAGATGTTGAAAGGGAAAGCCGGGTGTGAATCCTTTCCATTCATGACTCCATCACGTCCAAAGTCACTTCAGCCCTTGACCAGCGCTGCATCTCAGCAGCCTGCAGGACGCGGGTGATATGTCTTTGAAATGAAGTAAGTACATGTGACATGTGATATATGTATTGGACTCACGTGTCGTTGCCAGTGAGTTCAGCATCCAGGTGGGCATTTGCCTTGCCTTGTTGGACTTCCGAATGCGAAACCCACAATTTGTGGTGACCATCTGAACTGGCTTCATTATCGGTCAAGGTCATAGCAAATAGTTCGGCGGTGAGATCGTCCACCGGTGTTGACATCTCGGACTGATGTGTTGGGTGCTCGCCTTGGAAATATTGAGGAGATGGTGTTTCGCGATCTAGGCTGGGATGAAGAGTTTGACGGGTGAGATGAAGTATGGAGCTTGTACGTTCAGATGAGGTCGCCATGTTAGCCGCGTGCGCTAGATGTACTTGCTTTATGGTGATGGGCAAGTCTCTGCCACCAACATTTCTGGGCACACCATCCACTCCGACATCGCAGCATTGAGCGCATTTGCAAAGGAAAGTTCGGCTAGGCATCTAAATGAACATTAGATGATGATTTTGAAGCCATTGCTGATCTTACCTCTTGATAAGATAGATGGTGTGTTGACGAAGGGTTATGTACTGGAAAAAAGGAGTGAGAATCTTAGAATCAGAAGGCACCGGGTATACTTGCCAAAGTACAATGTTCGATCGCCTTGGAGACTTCTGATAATGCCGCTCAGCGCCCGCTTGTGCGGCGCTCATCTCTGAGCGGTGGATAACATGAGACAACTAGAACACAGTTGAGTTGGGGCATTGCTGAACAGGTATAAATTATGATATTAATGCTTACGACTATTCGATTATAGCGGACGACGAAGCCTTGGCCTCAGCATCCCCAGCTCGGGTTTTCTCTTGGAGTTTTTCCCCACGCCAACTATGTCATTTGTCATTGATCGAGTCATTGTAAATCTATGTATATGAACTATGTTCTACTATGTTCTAATGAAAAAAGATACAACTGTAACTTGACTGTAACTGTAGCGAATTGTAACGAGTAGTCAAGAAGAGAGCTTAAGGGAGCCAAATTAGGTGGAAGGAACGCATATGTAGTGAATGACTACCATTATTAAACTCTGCCAAAAATTCAGGCTCAGCAGGCACACAGTGCAACACTGCTGATCATGCGAGTGCAAACTGCAAACTGAATCGAGCCAGTTGCGATAGTGATTTCGCAAAGTAAATGGTAAAAAAGGAAAGTAGACTCGTGAAGCTGTATGAGAGAAATTTTCGACATATAACGTACAGTGCAAAACTTAACACCCAGCGCCCACTTCACTCAGCGCCCACTCAATTATGCAATGTCACAGATAGTTCGACATCAGCAGCAACAACTTTGCGCACAATATCAACAAGATCTCTGGCAGCGAGGGCGGAGTAACCTCGCATACTAACACGTTTGACTTCAGGGAAGGCTTGAATCCACTGCGCTGACAATGCCTGTGGCCACGATGAGTATTGAAACAGTGCTCAAACAAACACATACCAGTGTATCTTCTGCAAAAGGAAGGGATGTCCTTACAATGTCTGAAGAGTCGAATGCCAAGTGTTTGACGCTGCACTGCTGAATGGGTGCTTGGCCAAATCATTGCCGAATGGGAGTGAATCTGTGAAGGTAGAGAAATGAAGAGATATTCGACACTCTCACAATGGTTGACACATTGTAAAACTGAGCTAAGATAGTCAGGTGATGCGTCATGAGCTTGCAATGAAAGTGCAAGGCAAGTGAGGGTGGGCAGTGTACGGAGACTCCGAAGGACTGGAAGGATATGGGACAAAGGTCCATCTAGCTTAGATATAGGGAGCGTCAAACGAGCTGTGATTCGATTGGTCCTCCAGGTACCACAAGGTCGCGGAACGATACAGAGTGTATGGATAGCAGGGTGGCGGGCCAGAAAACGAATAAGAGTAGATGGTGCGCAATCAGCAGTCAACTCGGAGTTCGACTGAGTGCTAAGATGGTCAAGTACCACATGAGTTTCTCCCAGTGTGCAGAGCTGAGTTTGATGTAGCTAAGTCAAAGCTTCTCCAAATTGGAAGAACAGATAGTCTGGATCGTGAAAGGAAAGAACTCTGGGGAAAATAAACACCCCTGAGGATGCCTCAAATGCTTTGAGGTGATTCACACCCATGTGCCCGTGCATTCGGGTGAGTCTGGTGACGCCTGATGAGCCGACGAAAATGGTAAAACCCCATGCACATCAGTTCTTTGCAGCCAGAGGCACGGATGTTCTCGAGGAATGTAAGGATTTGGGGGAGAATTGGTGCAAGCTGAGGATGTCGAAATTCCAGAAAAGTGTGATGTATTGTATCGATTTGTGAGGGATGGATTGGAGGAAGTGCAAAAACGCAGATAGCTGCGAAGCTTGCGAATCAGGATTCAACCAACATAACATCATATCGTGGGGGACGGAAGGCATCCATCCGTATCCAAGTAGACAAAATGTCAAAGCTGGGAGAATCTACACGGATGTGAAACAGGTCCTTTGGGGAAGTTGGAAAGTTCTGGTTGGAGAAGAAGAGCGGTCCGGCAATTTCTCTCAATAGAGAACAAACTTGTGCTACACAGCGCATATCCCGTGCTCCCAGAAGAGCAACAATAAGAACAAGAATTTCCGCAGGCAGGGACCAAATAAACGCCATTGTGTTGCAAGGTTCATAAAGTTTTACACGCTTCATTGAGAAGGGATTGAGTTGAGTATCCGCTTTGCGCTTCAAGAAAACGTCAGACTGCAATCGAGATCAGTAGAGCACAATATATACGGCAAGTCTTTGCATACCGCCTCCCTGTACAAACACTTGGCTACGGGGTTTGTAAAGTCGGTTGTGACAATGATATATAGTTGAGGGTTGTAGCTGTGTAGCAATAACCTGGTGGATGTCACCCGTGGAATAGGATTCCAGGAGACGTCGCTTTCGAGGGGATGCCGAATCATCAAACTCAATGTTACGCTTCGAGGATTGCGGAATATCCTGCGGACTAGTGCTAACGTTCTGTCAAACAGGGGTCAGTGAAAGCCTATAAGCCTACATATTTGATAAGCCTCACCATGCCAGATTGTCGACCAGAGATGTGACTTATCGAGTTTCCCATCGTAAAATGTTTGAAGGTAATCTACGTCTGCACCCTGCTTTAAATGACTCGAAGTCTGAGCACAGAGGTTTATTGTTTGGACCCAAAAAGGGCGAACGTAATGATTGATCCATGAAGAGGGATAAAACAGAAAGACTTTGTTTAAAAAGAGGGGATATACCAGAGAATTTAATCACTTGCAGAGGGAATAACCAGAAGGTTCTGACAATGATAAATCATGATCATGATCGTTACCTTGTAAAAGTATGACTACTTACGGAAGCGAGTAGGAAGAAGCACAATCAAAACTCATGCAGGTGATATAGCCCAGAAACCATAACAACTGTCAGGGCCTGACTTAAGAGCGACACGAAAGGTGTATCTGACAACTCACTATGTCGTCCACATCACCTCACAGCAAAACCGCTGCAGCTCATTGCAAACGCTTCAATCCCTACATTCGACCCTCGCGAGACATGGTTACATCAAGAAAACCAACCACAGCACCCACAGCACCTCTAGTGAGGAGACTTGCTATGTATATTGAAAATTACGAGGTTCACCTAGAAGATGCAGTAAGTAGATGAAAGATATGAGAGTTCAACATCGAACACTTACATGAACCTTCCCAGTTGTGGATGGGATCCGCCATGGTCATCGATGAGCCCAATTCACCCAACGGGATGTCCGTTCCTGATACAAGACTTGATATAGTGGCCAGTAACGTTAGTGTGATTATATGATAACAAGCTCATGGACTAACATCACGATGTTTCAGGCGCTAATCACATCCAATGCTGCCAATGACATCAATGACCGTCAAGCTGTGGGACATGTGTCTCCGAAGAAAAGCAAACTTATGCGCAGTCTAGAGAAGGTCATCAGCAAATGTATTGAACGTCACTGTAAGGCGGGTCATCCGACTACTGACCTCTTGCGCAAGCGTATCAGTGCAGCATTGGAGGGTGCATTGGAGGGCATAGAGATAGACAATATTATGTCGGATGGCTCCAAAGGTGGAGAGAAACGCAAAAGTACGACGGCAAACAAGATGTGAGGCAATAAATTAATATCGCAGTAATGTTGATTGATTTTGTTAGTTAGAAGACTGACAATGATCCATGCAACATAACACGTACAATTTGCGGATTGTTTTCCCTCAGAACAATTCTAAGGGAGAAATCAGAAACTTTGGGATTAAGAAATAAGCCAGGTGCGTCGACAGACCTTGATGTACTGCAATCTCCCATGAACGCGCATTAGGTTCACTTGCTGGAATGCCAGGAGGGTATCCAACTGAGACATTGACAACTTAAGTGACTGCGCAAGCTTGCTGTATCATATACATATCGTGCTAGTAGTGGAAAGAAAACCATGAAGTCCGGAATCGGTATTTGTAGTGAATAACGAATTTGTAAGTGTAATGGTGGAAACTGTCAATACCAAATGGAAACCAAAAAGAAAGCTGATAATGATGTAAATTAGTGCAGGTTGCACCACATATGACTAGATGGCTTACATATGTATTTTGATGAGGGAGGGAGCGCGCTATATCAAAGCCATGATAGTTTATAGTACATAGTACAGGTGGTACAGGTGCGGTACAAGGTTGATACAAGGTACAAGGTACAAATCACGAACAGCAACAGCAGTACAAGAAAGGAAACAATCCAGAATCACCTGCATGAAACCATAATTTCAATTCTCTGGAACTTTTCATTAGATACCTTGAACGACGGACGTTGGCCGCTCAACCACGATAAATTGTAGAATGATCTAGGCAAACCTGCAACTGCTGGCCGAACAGACTCCCGCTTGGCATTATGAAGACGCTTTGCGGGCTTACTTCCCCTGGGAGTGAAGACAGCTGCCCCCGCTAAACGCTGTTCGTCGATGATTTTCAATTCATGACTGAAATCAGCTCTCCACAGCATCGTCTTGAGCCGAAAGACTGGGAGTCCATAATCTTCAGTCTTGCTCTCATCAGAGCTCATTCTGTCTTTATCCAGAGTCTCCACTATGGAGTTCAAATATACCCACACAGGTAAATCGTCCTTTCGGCTCGCTTTCCAGTCACTGAGCAGGGCTGACGTTGTCCTGCATGATTTGGGAATCATGCATGGACATGACTACTAGGTATCCCCCTAAAAGACAAAGTCTGTTAGCTTAGTCCTCAGACTAGTCAACCCATACCTTGGTATCAAACCTTGGTCCAATAGTTTCAGTTTTTCCCTCAGTGATTCATGAATCCACCATGTTTTGAAGAAAAGTCATATGTGAGATGGGAATCACATAATGACCTAGTTGATATGAGAAGCAAAATGAAGGTTAATGTATTGCCTTTCATTTGGCTTATTCACTTTGGCTAGAGAAACCCATAGAGAAAAGTTCAAAGCCTAACAAAAACCTATCTAAAAAGCCCGCGTATTGTGTACTATTATTTGTTCCATTATTTCTGAGTTGTTTTCTCTAGTGTTTCTTTACTTTACTTTTCTATTAGGATGCTCTGACTAATCAGATGCTTCATAAAATTGTACCTACAGGGTATGATGTCATAATGATGTCATAGGACTTCACCTACACTCCTGCAGGTATTTTGGTTGAAAGATATGATATCATAGTGATGTCATAATGATGTCATGTTCCATGGAATTTGCTAGAACATTCCAATGACTCATAATGACTCGTAGTGACTCATAGTGACTCAGAATGATGTCATTATCCCACCATGAATATTCTGGAATGTTCTTTTGCACCTGCTAGAACATTCTGCTCCAGTTTTTGGAATATTCTTCTCACATTCTGAAGTCATTACATCACCTTTTTACTTACATAATATTCCCACACAAAATGTATATAAGGAGAGCCCATTCTCCCCCAAAAAATAGATCTCCCACTTGTTGCATTCAAGAACTCCCACTTGAGCAAATTGAACTCTCACCTAAGAAGCTTCAGTCTGAACAAATTGCTGCTTACAAAGCCCATTTCCTTTGTAAGAACTGTCCAGGCAAGTGCAGGGAAAGTGTTTCCCTTGAGATTACATAAGTTTCTCGCGATAGAAACCCAGTTTTGTGAGACCAGTGTTCTCACCACGTAGTGTTTTACTGACCAACACGAGCTTTGGTCACCGTTGTTATTTGTGAGACCAGCGTTCTCACCAGGTATTTGTATACTGACCAACACGAGCTTTGGTCATTGTTGTTATTTGTGAGACCAGCGTTCTCACCAGGTATTTGTATATTGACCAACACGAGCTTTGGTCCACGTAGTCACATTTGAGACCAGCTTCTCAACAGTTAACCGTATATTCAGGAAACCAGTTCAAGTGTCTAGACGGTATATCCTAGACAATCCCATAGTTTCAATCAGAGATAATAAAGCTCCGGCTAAGTTAATCTGACTGATTGGTTTAGCGAGCCTCCCAAGAACTCACACGTTATCTACCACGAAAGAAGAAAAGTCGTAGACCATGTTAATCGAGGACTGGCAAGAAGTCTTATCCAGTGTAATTGTGGTGTCATTACATTCTTACACGTATTTATATAAGACCCTCGGTTATTAAGACAACGTGACCTTCCGGCGGGTTTCAAATTTCTAAAAAAAACAAGTTAAAATCTGTCCATTCTACAAGGGACACATCCAAACGACTTACTGTTGTTCTACGAGATAGGACCCTAGCTATCCGTAACCGCTCGTTCGTGTGATCCACCAGGCGATCTCCCACTTGTTGCATAGTCTCGTGAGTGCCATCACTGGCGACCTGAGGACGGGCTTTTCTCCAGCACTTGCGGCATTGATCGAATTTAAGGGTGATATCACGTCTGATTGACTGCTGAGATCGCCCGGTCCAGCGGTTGCTCTCCTGCATGGTCATATACAGGCAACAGAGGTGATCGATGACCTTTTGATTCCAATCCGAATTGTGCGTGGCCGTCATATCCCACTGCAACGCAAGCGGGTCAGGACTGGGGCCTATGCCGCCTATGAAAAGCGATACGGCTTCGCGTGCTGCTCCCTTGTAAAGCATGTACTCATCATCTTTTGTGAGATGGAATGTCTCCTTAAATAAATCTCGCACATTCGCCTGAGGTTTAATTAGCAAAGCCATTTCAAACGGCGAGTCTCTCACCTTGTTCTCTCGATGCTGATCATTGGTAAAATATTCTACAGATGGTTCAGGGATTTTACGTCTCGAGCGAGGTCTACTAGGGGATGTTTGTTGACACTGGAGAGCCTTTGCGAGCACCTCAGCAAGCATTCAGACCGTGGCGTCTTCAATAGGAAGATTCAAAAGTGAAGTCAAGCGAAGCCCATCCTTGCTACTATTATCACTGATAATAGGTTCGTCAACAGGGGATTCCGAGAGTACATCAGGAATCTGGAAAATGATGAGTAGGATGATACAGAGGTGTAATACAGACATTGACTTACTGGCAAAAACCCCACAATGTTAGTGCAGGTAGCAACTGGTTTTTTGCCTACAACATGACGCCATGAAGGAGGCAACACAGGCGTGATAGTTTTTGCCTGTCGAATTTGATTCTACGGAAATTGTTAGAGTTCTTTATACTAACACTCTCAAGATGCACATCTAATGAAGCGATTTTGGAATCATAACCAGCAGTCAGGCGGGTTGATTCCCTTTCATTCTGAATCAGTTTTCTGCCTTGCTAAGAGAGTCTCGCATTGATGTAAAGCATCTTTCTCTGCTAATAAGAGATCTCGTTCCATGCGTGCGGCATCTAATAAGGTATCTCGTTCCACGCGTGTGGCATGTTGCACCTCTTCAACGTTAAGTGCCATTCGGTTCTGTCAATAGAAATCATGACAAGTCCAACTTGTAAAATTAGGGATCTCCTACCTGGATCAACGAGACTTCACTGTGGTGCTGCTGTTCCAATGAGGTGAGGGCCTCAACTTTCTTAGGCTCAAGATGTCCGTTCTTGTCATGATACTGGTCAGCGATTGATCGCATCTCCAGTTCACGGTAATGAGTGTTGGTCTGGAGGCGAGTGAGACATGAACATATTTTGCGAAATATTGCCTTACCTGCATGTTGCGCTTTCGAACCAAAAGCTCATGGTGGCTATAACGTAGCTCACGTACATCATCACGCAGCTTGGATGACTGATCAATTTCCTTGAGAACAACTTTGGTGGGCTAAGTAAACATTAGCTCAGAGATACGAACCGAGGTACCAAAAGGCTGACACGCTGATCATCCTCCTCTCTCATCCTACAGCACACCAAAGGGCTGTCATGCTAATCCTCCTCCTCCTCCTCTTCTCTCATCCATATCGAAAGCCTGACACCCTCCTCTTCCTCCTCTTCCTCCTCTTCCTCCTCTTCCTCCTCCTCTCTCATACTCATCCTAAAGTCCTCATGGGTCTGGGTAGGCTCGGGTGGGTAAGTGTGGATTATCACAGAGGTAGTGGGCTGAGATGCAGGTGGATATGTGTGCACGGGACGTAATTCCTGGAGCGGGTGAGATTCGACATCGATCAATTCCCCATCGGAATGTGGGGAAAACAAAGCTATTAAACGGGACATCTTGTCAAGTCTCACTCAGCATTTGAACAATTTATCTAAAAAAAAATACTCGCCTCAATGAGGGATCACCCAATGTCCGGTATCACGGAGGTTGTAGGTGAAAGAGGTTACTACCTTGTTAACAGAAGTTCGGACTCATTCGATTGATTAAATCAAACTATTTGAGATACACGTTCCATGGAATCACTCAATTGTGATGCTCGGTCTACTTGTGGCTATTATTATTCTTCGCGTGCCTTTGTTGCTCCTTAGCAGAAAGATTTTTCAATTGCATTTGTATAAGATCTCCCACTGGCCAGCGCCCCATATAGTCATTCAATTCCGGAAATTGAACGACAGCCTGAATACAGGTCAGTAAATACAATTGTAGAACCCACAGACATACCTCTGTCTCAACAGAATTCAGTGCTGCAGTTGTTTGGCTTGACTTGCTCTTGCTAGTGTCACAATGACTGTCGATCAATCGGTGGACAAAGTCCTATCGTGGGTATGAATATGAGATTGGTTCGAAAGCATAGATCTCACCCTTAACAACTTGAATCGACTAGAATCCCAGTTGAGTGCCCTTTCCAGGTTGTATCCCCCATGAGCCGGGCGCCCTGCTTCACCATCTGGTTTGGGGATTTTGGAGTCATTGGAGTCTGTTGATAAAATGGAAGAGGAATACATTGACATCTTTACTGACTCACCATTCCCAGAAATTTGGTTTGCTGAAAAAGAGACCGCCTTGGTGAATTTGGGAGTAGGGGAGCAAGAGGGTGACAAGTTTGGGAGTAGGGGGACCAGCGGGGACTGGTAGGGTTGAAGTTGTGAAGACTTGCGATGGGGTTCGAGTGCGTCCGCGAAGTGTATGGGTAGAGAATGCCACCCCTTCTTGCGGAGAGATCAAGACGAATGATGCTGTTGGATAGAGTATCTCTGTGTGATATGTCAATAATGGAAGTTGCTGCAGGGGACCATCCACCTGATAGAACGGGGGGACATGTACACAGGTATGAGGCATGCTGTACTGGTTCAAACTTACACATTCGGAATGTCTTATCACTGCCATTTGGAAGCATCCTTGATCAGGAAATCAGCGCTCAGCGCCCGCCGCTAGAAAACACAGTTATAATTAGTAGTGTTAATGTAGTTTTGCTTCGCTTCAAGGATTTCTACCTTCCATTTTACCAGGAAGATGTTGTCATGGGTTGCCTGTTGTCGCCAAGTGTTTGCTATTATGTAGATATACAGTCCGACTATTGTATACGGTCACCCATTAAAGACGTCCGAAAAATAGATCAACTTACATCGTAACCACCAATGTTTTTTATGCCTGCCAAAGCTTGCAAGGATTATTGCCTTGAAGGGTGCCTGATTGGGCACAAGAACACCATCAATTGTTTGACTATCTCGAACAATGGCAGTCTGTTGGCAAGTGGTGGTAAGTTCTTGTAAATGCGTCAATCTCACAATAGACCTACTAGGAAATAGGCTCAGATGGCATGAGAATTTGGGACCTCAAACGGCGACTTCAACTCCCGTCTCCACGCCAAAACATGGGTCTTCAAAATCCAGTTGATCCCGTGACATGTGCATGCTGGATCACCCGCCAAGAGGCGGTACGTGAGACATTGTGCTATGGCACAGGACTAGGATTCATTGGAATCTGGCAGCAGCAAGGCGAAGGTATAGAGGACTTTGACGCCAATGTGTCAAGAAGAATCGGCACAGGTAAAGAAATTATGTGCATTACCTATGATCACGCTGGAGACGACACTTGCATTGCTACCGGAACGCAGGACAGACGTGTTCAAGTTTGGTCATTTGATTTCAAAGGACCATTGATTCTGGTTTTCAGCATTGAGCTGAATAGTACGATTCCGCGCACGATAAACTTCAACCGCACTGCAAGTCGAAATTTATTAGTCTTCGGGATGTATGACGGAGAGGTGTAGGTCGATACTGCGATCCTCACAATGATTCTAACATACCTTGCTTGTAGGCATGCGCTTCGGGGCACAGACGGAGTCATAATTGCTACGAATAATGCCGGACCCCTAATGTGAGTGATATCATTGGATAAAAAATGGCATTCCTTTACATTAAACCAAAGCGGGCACGCTTCAGTGGACAATGCTCAAACACTGTTCCTCATTGACAATGTGACGAATGGATTTAGCCTGCATCGACTGGACGATGCAGTGTGCATCCGAAGCTACAATACCAACCCAATCAAAATGTTTCCAAAACAAGTAGTGTTTGGCGAAAAAACTGACGTGGTGGTTGGTGGCAGCGACGCAGGCGTCATATACGTTTTCGATAAAAATGAAGGAACCCTCAAGCAAGTGTTGAAACATGCCAACAAGGCGAGAGTGCAGACTGTTACAGTGCGATATTATTTTTACCGATAAGTTAGTGGCGCCTGACAGACTATAGACTTATGACGGGACTCACCACAGTATGATTGTTGGGGCAACATCTCAAAACGATGCGGAGCCAGTCATCTCTATCTGGAGCCGCCAATGGGAGAATCTTGAAACAGCACATCCACCACTGGGGAAGGTGGTCAGAAACTTTGTACGCGGAATCGTACAATTAGCTATCGCAATAGCGCTGCTTGCATATGTTAGCCATGTCATATGTCATATTTCGTATGAAACTGCAAAGGTGGTGACTTACTCAATTGCAGTGTGTTACAATGAACACATTGATTTCATTCAAGTCATTGGGAAATATCTGGCAAAACTTGGCTCGACCACTGGGACCCAACAAATGAAGATATTCACACCTGGGTGGAGCAATATATTGAGCACCGAGAGGAGACAATCATTATCTCGAATGAAAATAAGTTACCCACTAGGCGAGGAAAGACTGCATCAAACATGGAGATGGAGCATGGCGAGTCGCAGGCTGTGATTCTTCTCGGTATGTAAGTTGCTGTATGAACGCAATTAATCAATGTAGGTCGACAAGTTATGCATGTGGGCGCTGAAATACCATTTCATCGTAATGCGATGTGCGGGCAAGCGCCAATACTTGACTTCCTCGAAAGTGTTTTGTGATTATGTTTGAGACATAATGACATCAAGTCAATACGCTATACACTATACAATGCACTGAATTCGATACATGTACAGTACAATACACTATACAGGACACTATACAGTATGCTATTCAGTACAATAGATGTAGGGTTATTCAGATTCAACAGTTCGGAAAGGTGTTAATTGCTGACAAGGCAGCCATTATATAGTGAACGACTACATAATTATAAACTCCGCCGGAGAATTCCTGATGCGCCCGACACAAACGACACAACATGTATGTTTACATAATAGCTGGGTTTCAATTGCAATAGTCATTCTCTATATTACAGTGGGCGTTTGCCAGAATGACTCCTTTTCCGACCACCCACTCATAATTACAATGAGCGTGAATAGTGTATATACGTAGCGGGCTGATGGACTAGTACTAGAGTCTATCACTTATTTCATTATATTCCGCATCAAATGCACTTTTGTAAGTTATTTGTTAGTGGGCGAGCAGGACTTGGACCACTCAGTACTCAGTACTTGGCCCAGAGTCAGAAACAAAAACCGGGCTATCATGGGTCCACCAATCATTGTTTCATGTTTCAAATCCACAATTCTGCAAATAATAATATTCACAGTCCACACGTAAGCTAGTCCACAATTAGTCGTTCACTACAAATACTGATCTTGCGCCTCGATGGTTTTCTTTCCATTACCACTACCTCAACACGACATAACAGGCACGAATAGCAAATCTTCCAATGTTACATAGTGTAGACTTTTCGTAGGCACATACTCATTGAACACAGTGTGTAATTTGTCAGTTCATTGTGTAATGCTGCTAAATTAATTATGTAGAACTAGTACAGAGCGATGTCCAAACGCGCTGCATCAGATGATGACACGCCTTCCGCGAAGCGCATGAGGAACTGATGAAGGTAAGTAATGATAAGGTGTTGTCGATATTGTTGTTTACGCGTATCGCAGGGAGTCAGACAGCACCTCTGAACGATGAACATGCCTGGAGAATTATGGAGGACTTCCTCACTACCCGACATGACATATCCTAAGATGGAGGAAGTTTTTCTATCATACCTGGGAGATCGATATACTGAAGGCGAATGGAAGGAAGCCCGAGATGCATTATTCTCCAGTGACGGTGACGACAATGTCAGCCTTAGAAAACCTTCGCGCCATAAAGGCGAAGCACATATCCATATCTCCGGCCTCTTGTGCACCCAAAGATCATTCTGTCACGGACAGGCGATTGTCCCAGGCGCGACGTTCGACCTACGCGCAGACCAGCCAAAGTAAGTGAAATGTTATGATATCTTTATCTATATTCACATAACATTTGCAGTCAAAAAATCCCTATCTCAATTTGTACGCAGGAGAAGATAATGAGGAGGATGAGGAGGATGAGGAGGAAGAGGAGGATAGCGCCGACGAGAGTCACTCCAAATTGCAGGAGTGTTACATGCTTGCCAGGATCCTCATCAGCCACGAGGTTCGCTGCGGTTATCGATGGTCTCGCCAATAGAATTGAAGATACACGGCGTAACGCATCTCAAGATCACCGGCCTCTTCCCCCAATATCTGACTTGATTACTTCGGCACTATCGCAAGATGGGAGGATGTATCTAGTTCATGTTCACCGTAAGTCTTTCTAAAGACGTAATTATCATTCATCACTCATCAATCACAGGAAATGTCACAGACTTCATTGCTCAACACCTTCAGAAGAAGAACTTCCGCGTCACAGTGTCGGCTGGCTAGCAGGTCAGATTTACGTGGTGGCGGACAGTCTAAGACCATCACCGATGCCCTTCCTTTCTCACTTTACCCTCGCCGTAAAAAAATACGTCATTGTATCGGATGAGAACGTCAAGTGGTCGAGCGGTCCTGCAGAAAACTCCCCAACCCAGCGTGGGTGAGATTCAAGCATGACAAGTACAAGGGCGACATAGCCCAAGTCTTCAATTCGAACTTACTGAATGATATGGTCGCAGTCTTGGTTCCCCCATGAGAGTTTCCCTATCCCATGCCTCGGGATCTCGCTCACTACTCGACCGATCTCGCCTTCTGAATGGGGACGCGGTCTCCAACATTAATTGCGGTGAGGAAGTCATAGGATGGACATACAAGGGAGAGAAATATTACATGGGCCTCCTACTCAAGACTGTTCACCGTGATCGCCTAGAACTTGTCATTTGTCCTCATGCTGATGACATTTGGCTCCACCTACAATCTGGGTGGGGCCAACCCTTCCTCAAGAAAACTGTGGTTATGTTCTCTATGCAGTTCTTGCGCACAGGCGATTGGGTTAGAATTGTCAGAGGAGACCTCAGTTCAGAGACCAGTCAAGTCATCTCAACAGATCATCCTGCTAATTCTGCTACCTTGGAGTTGACCTTGAGTGGTCCGCCGAAAGGAAGTCGACATCCGATTAGATGACATAGATCGCGTTTTTTCGGGTTGGCGATACAGTTCAAGTGATAGCAGGTCCATACTTGGGCATGGAAGGGCACATTATTCAGATGGCAGATGATACATTTCGCCTTTGTCAGCACGCCTCGAAGGAAGAGGTTAATGTCTCATCATTCTCAAAAAATACTGTCTGACACAACACACAGTTAGAAGTTTCCAAATACTACCTAGATCGTCGCCCGCATCAGTCACAACCCTGCAAGCACAGCTGCCAACTCAGCAATTTTTCAAGCCCCCCCCTGATATTGATGCCATTCAAATTGGTGACTCTGTAAATGTGCTTGTTGGAGGAGCACATGGGGAAAACTGGCATCGTGCGCTGGCTCTCCAAAGGAGGGAACTATTTGTGGTTTCAGGATGGATCACTGATTATTCCAGTTCCCATTGTAGCTGCTCAGCGAATCCCCAACCTCCAAACTCTGGCAGTTTACACAAGACAGAGGTTATGATGTCAGGCCTGGAGATGTTGTGAGAGTCGCCTGTGGTCCAAATTATACGACAAAAGGCGTCATTCGAAGGGTTGACTTTATAAACGCTCACTTAACCCTACTCTCTGAGATTGATCACTCACTAGTTAGTAATTTTAATGATTGCGCCTCGTGCATGTCTAACTATGATTTCCTGACAGGTCAATGTGCCCATCGGATTCGTGATCAAATTACAAAATGCCAGCTTAGATTCCTTCAAAAAAGACATCAGGCAAGAAGTTTTTCATTATTGGCAGTGACCGCAAGGGCTACCAAGCCACACTGTACAGTTTCTCATCTGAGACTTGCACTGTTGCCATTCATGGGCAGCAGCGCACCACGATTCAACTCAAGGATGTTGTTACTAGGTAAGCCAACACGTACATATATGTGCGAATTAATTCTAAGTGTATACAGTATGGAATGAGGTTGAACGGCAATCATGCTCGAAGGAACCTGAGATGGTTATCTTTCTGCGAGATACGCAGAAAATTGTACTTGGCCCCACCACCTCGAAGCGTCACCCCCTCCCCTGAAAGATCCATTCCAGCTTGTCAGCTTCCACCATAGACAAGTCATCATCCACGTGGACCACCTGGACCAGCAGCTCTGAGGATATTGTCACGGCAGGCAACCCTTCTAGCCTCAGTCCCTCACAGGCTGCTGCGCCCGACCCCTGGAGTGTCAATATCAACGACATGCTGGATGGCACTGATGGAGGAGAGAAACCGAAAGAGAGTGAGTTCTTACAAATCGTCACAGCATTCCCACTTATTTCATTCTAGCCCACTAGCTTGGCTGATGAACAAGGAATTTTCCTACACATTCACAAACCTATCACACGATGTTGAAAGTCTCGCCCTCTTTCATGCGAGGCAGGCTACACAATCAATTCGTGTCAACAGCTTGTCCTGACCCTTCCTGGCCTTAACGGACCAGCCCCCGAGGGTTGTGTTGCGGTTTTGCTCATGAATGGTGCAGGTGCTGCCAATCAGCACTATCATATACCTGCTACAGATCTTAGCCCAGCCCCCGTGCAAAAAGAATCAACAGTGTATTGTTCTAGAGGCATTTATCGCGGTTCTGTTTGCAATGTAGCTAAGTGCCACCTCAAAAAGAACACAGCTGATATTGCAATTTCCCCTTCAACTGTTGTCAATATGCGGTTTGATCAAATTTGTCTTGT